CTATAAGCCTCCGGAGGGTGGGGTTTTCAGATTTACAATCACAATAACCCGCTCTAAACCCCCTCATTTTTGTTTTTTTTTAAAGCCGGGTTCCGTACTGTAAAATTTTCCCCATATGTCAAAAGAGAGGTATTTTTATTACTTTTCTAATGATCAATTTTTTGTTTTTTTTTTTAGAAATGTTCGTATACTGCATTGCGTTTTGGTACGCATGCCGTCGAATTTGTTTTTTTGCGTCACCCGAAATTGACTTGCATGCGTTTGCATTTGATTTCATTGAGCGAAACGTCAAATCAAAATGTCACGCAGAACAAAAATTGGAAATTGAGTTAGCTTCATACGCACGCCGTTCAATTTCGGTTGATCTAATACAAGTTGCATGTGCATGAGAAATTTTTGACAATAAATTGGCGGCGTGCGTGAATATTAGGTTAGCCTGTTACTTGTCATGAACGAAAGACACAAGATCACGCGGGAAGGAAAGAAAGAAAAAAGTTATTTTCTAGCTGCCGAAATCTCGACGCCATCTTTGTTGTAAGAAGTAAACAACGAAGAGAACGGAGAAAACCGCGAAATTGTTGAACGCATGAATAATCATTTTTATTATGCAAATTCTTCTATAAATCATGCCGTTGTGTTAAATTATTCTTTATCTTATGTGTACACACGTTGTCACAGGCGAAAATGAAGAAAATTGCAGTAAAAAGTCACCACCAAATTGTAAACAACGAAGAAATGTAAACAAACGGCTAATGTCAAAATCGTTAAACTTTTTTCCTAAATGCGATTCTAACGGGCTACTCTCCTGTCCGCGTGATCTTGTATTTTTGGTTCATGGTCAGGGATGCCGTTTGCATCTAAATAGATCCAATTGGATACATTTTTAGACGAATTTTTGCGGGATACTTATTTTTTCCGGTCAGTATAAAAGTGGATACTTTTTTAAATAGGCCAAAATTTTATATTTCCTATAAAGTTTTTTTCGTTCAAAAATCGATTTTTATTAAAGATGGCATTACGTTTTCTAAACGTATAAAGAATCGCTACTTAAGCGTGAAATTAAAGCATTTTATTTTTTGTGAACGAAGCAATGAACATATGAAGAGATCTCACTAAAATAGGTATAAGCACAATTGCTTTAATTAGCTTAAAAGGATGCTTTAAGCAAGATCTTAATATACATACATATCGTCGTTTAAAGTACAAAACCGCAACAAAATGCAAAACCGCGTATCAAGATAATGCAAAACTGCGTATGTGACGTTGCATAAATTATTTTCTAGAGAGTAAAAACACTTATATTTCAAAATGGTTCTCTTTTTTTTAAAGCAATAGCATTTCTGGCTAGTATATTTCAGGACGAAGCCAAGAGCTTGTGTGAGCAAATCCAATTTTTGGCGGCAAATGTCAGTTACGCGGTTTTGCAGAATGACGATACGCGGTTTTGTACTTTAAACGACGATATATGTAAAGTAAATTATACTCTTTCTGTAGTAATCTCTTTCATATCACATATTTTCATTCGTTAATTTAAAAAGAAAGAAGATTTCAATGTAGTTTAAAAAACTAAATTTGATTTATTTAAGGAAACTTTTATGAATTTTACTGAAAAGACTTTAAATACACTCTAAAAAATTTTGTTTATTTGCGCATATTGAGAGAGGTAACCGGTTTCCTCTTTTAATGTATGCAAATGTGCAAGCCGTGTAATAAAATTAATCATTGCCTGTTTATTTTTACACAAAATGTTTAAAATAAAGTAATGTTTATTATTAGTAGGAAATGTATTTGTAGTTTGAAAGTTTTTGCAATTTTAAATATTCTACATATGTGTATTTATGTGTATATTTTAAAGATCTCAAGTTCAAAATCAAATACTGAACATCCTATAAGTATATTTATACAGATTCTTGTTGAAAAATAGATACTTTTCAGTAGTAGTTTTACATGCTCTTTTTAGAGTGTACTTGCAATTTATTATATTTACTCTGCAAAATACTTATGCACAAAAATGTTCTTTATAAATTGAAATTACAAATGTTTGATTTTATGCACATGTATTCCAAGTCCTTAGCATGGGTTAAATTATGTCTTTTTCATGAAAATGTTTGGTTTTCTTACAAGTTATGAGATGTATATGTAAAAAAAGAAAATTGGATACATTTGGATACATTTTTGGCTTGGTCAGGGATACATTTTCTTGAGAGGGCGCGGCAACACTGTTCATGGTTACTTAAGTTACTACTACAATTGTAGTAGTTTTTTTTTTAATTTATGTGTCCCTTAAGGCTCCGTTATGCATACTTGGCATTGCTTGAGAGTTGTCACATAAGGAATCTGTTAAATGAGCTTCGCGTGTAAGCGGTTACCCAACGCACAGTATTACATACCCTGCAAGAACAGTGACCATCATTTGACAAATCATTTGACTGGCAAGGCTGATAGAGATTTCTGTCACTGGCTACCTACAAGTTTCTATCACATTCTAAAGGGCAGTGTGAAAAATCTGATGTAAACATTTGTGTACATATGATCTTCCGTCTTCCTCCAACTTATGGCCTTATATATTGGTCTCTTTTTAACCAACGCAAAATTTGCAAATGTGTTAGTAAGATAAATGAGAATGTGTTAGTTTCCATCACACAATTCTTGTAGGGTACGTAAAAGTCTGTAGGTTTTTGATTTCTACGTAAAAATGGTATAGCAGTGCATGCAATGCCAAGTATGCATAACAGAGCCTTTAGACTCCCTACCGACTCCCTGTTATATGCATGTAGTCGAAGACGTCGGTAACGATGTTTAACCGCAGATTAGTGTTAACCAGACATTGAGTAACCGGCCCTAACTTGTATAAAATCCATAAACGCTGTTCCAAGGCGAATTTATATAAGGTGGTGTTACTAGCTCAGCTGATTTTGTGTATGTGTTTCGCCGCACGGCTTCTGATATCAAACTGAAAAATTTTGTTTGAATTTCTACACACACTCTTACAGATTTTGACAGTTTATGCCGCCAAAGCAAAAACAAAATACATGTAAATTTTTATTTTTGTACTCCTGCTATCACCTTATATTAATTCGCCTTGCGCTGTTCGCAATTCAATTATCTATGAAGGAAAAAATAAGCGATGGCAACTCTAGTCCAGTCGGCATTTTGACGAAGTTCAGCACGTTCGATTTTTACACACTGAGTACATAAATATTTTCTGTGGAGATCATTAAAAGTTTTCTGATAAAAGAATGAATTTAATTGAAGTTAGCAAGGAATTGCGAATTTTTAAGTATTTGAAAAATGCCGGATGCGTTGTTTGCACGTAAAGTAGCCTAATTTACCAAAGGCTGGAATTGACTCACATCCGTGTGCTCCGGTAGACTTCGCCGTCGCTCGTTTTGTTCGGTCACCGCTGTTCTCGCTCCCACTGCTTAATACATTGCCATATCCTTTGTGCTCTGCGTGCTTGTTACGCATCGATTTGGGCTAAACGTTAGATACCACCTAACAATTATTTGGGTGTAGTGTTTTGCTGGTAAATATAATATACTCGCTAACTGGATTTAATGACGGGAACTTTATGGAAATGCTGTTTATTAATTAAAAATGCGGTCATTTATTCAAGACTAAAACTCGGTTCGAATATCTTGTGGGTTCTTGTTTACTGGTGAGTTTTCCCAAACATTTGTACCCGTTGTATAACAGTGGTAGTCATTAGGCCTTTACACATACAATATTTATATGTATATATAAATGATATTTCCATCGAAGAAAGTGTTATTTTGGGACTTTGTCAACGAAATATCTTTAAGGCGCTTTCCCATTACCAGTTTGGATTGCAAAAAATGTGTGTATAGAATAGTGTCGGACGATTCTTTTCAAAAGCCTCTTGGCTATAGAAAAAATGGATCATGCGTAAGTATAAGTAAAGGGAATAGTTCCAGCGGTCCTGTAGCATGCAAGAAGGGTTCGTGAATTAAGAAATTGCACGAACATAAGAATTCATTATTTACAACACCCAAACATACTGCATGTCTATTTTTCAATAAGGTAACAGCGAAGTCGGTCACTGAAACATCTTAAATACGTATGTATACGTACATAAATATATACATGTACATACATGTATATTTTATTGGAAAGGGTTCTATTGTAGTGTAACTAAATTTTGTTTTCTTCATAACTTTTCAGGAGACATTTTCCTTTACTTCCGAACGTTGTGTCCGCGGTGGGCGAAGGGGGCGTGGCCCCACCCTCAGAGAAGGCATAGGCCACCGTTCCCAACGGTACCACCCCTAGCCCCCTTTAGACCGCTAGAAAAATTGTAAAAAAACTGTTTTGAATGGCGTTTATGCTTCTTTCACCTCATCTGAACACACAGAAACTGATATCAGTTATGTACTTGCACTCCTGCTGGAACTTTTTAATTCAGATATTAATTTTATTATTTTGGAATGAAATTATATTTAACAATTTTGTTGAAAATGTTTGTAAAAAACAACAATAATTTACATTCTGGTAGAAGTTATAGCTGCTACTTCGGAGATCGCCACATCACCTCATCAGACTACTACAGCAGGTTAAACTCCTACTTGAGTAGGTTGAATGAGGATGTGCCGAACGAATGTCCGGCATGCGGAGAGACCCCACATGACTCGAAACATCTCTTCGCATGCCCGGAAAACCCGACATCCCTAACGGCCTTGTCCCTATGGGCAAACCCCGCAGAAGCTGCACGCTTCCTAGGGTTGCCGTTAGTGGAACTTGACGACAACGACTGAGATACCAACCGATCTGGGCGGGGTTGTTGTAGCCGCTACAACAACAACAACAACTACTTCATCGCGCTGACTGGGATTCGAACCAGCGACTCCGGATTTCAGAGCCAGAGGTCTAACCACTGACCTAAATTTACCAATTAAACTGCTGTTGCTTTCTCCATTTTTTCATTAAGCACCTACAACCAAGTTCCACTATTTTGTTGCTTTTTACACTTGGTCATGTGGTTATTGTTGTTTTTGTTATTAAAGTTAAGTTATATTTTTACAATTTTAATTTGAAGGCGAGCTCATCCTTAAGTATGTTTGTTTTTACCAGCTTTTATTATGGCCCATCCTTTTCCAAAAAAGGCCAACAAAGTAAAATGAAGAACAACTCTGCCACACTGTGAAAGCTTGTTGTGTATTCAAACGCTACCAGATTTTTCGATATTACACAGTTCTTGCAAAAAATATTTGAACAAATACAGTTACTCAGGCAGGTCCTGAAATTCACTTCCAAGTGCAAATGGCTCAAGTTCACTTTGAATCCAAATTTTGGTGTTCTCTATTTCTCGTTTCATGTCAAATGAATATTTTTTTTCGTTTTCAGCATCTTTCATTTTGTAAATGAATCAGAAAACATCTCGGGATCTCGGAGCTGTAACCGCGGGATTTCGGGACATGGAAAAGTGTCCGGGATCCCGGAATTCTGGATCCCGGGTTTGAATGCCCTAATATGTACATATGTATGTAAATTTGTGCAAATTAAAATGAAATAAAAAGGAAATAGAGTATAAAAACGTGGTAAAAAATTTTTAATTAGTACAACGGAGTTCTGGTTGAACGATTCGTCAGAGGATGAGAGGTTAGCAAACTGGCCAGGAGCAGAAAACGTTTAAGATAGTTTAAGTGCAGTCTTTCGAATATATTTTGACATAAAGGGCGAACACACCAAAACTGCGACACTTTGGGAAGCTTATATTTTACCCAAAAAGATTTCAATATTTTGAAATTCAAATACCATAAAATGACCATGACCTTAGTTGGACGTAGACGAAGTTTCATTTGAATTTGATTCCTAGTTGAGTTAAAAATGGCAACCGAGTTAGAAACGAGACAAACCATTTTGCATGAGTTTATAAATGATCCGGCCTTAAGTACACGTAAAATTGCTAAAAATTAAAGATTGCATTATGCTACAGTTTGCAGGGTTTTAATCGGTACACTTAAGGCCTGGCAGTTACGAGAAAACCAGGGAGCGGGGGTTAGCATGGTCGAAGTGATAAAAACAGTGCTCGGAAGGTCCTCAGTGCGTTTTCGCGAGATCCGAAGGTTTTGTCGGGTTATGTTGCAAAATCCGTACGGAGAGCGCAGTTTTTCGTACAAAAGGTAAAGCGGAAAGCTTCATTGAGATGTTCTACAGCTCAAAGAGCGCCATACCGAGCCGCAAAGTAGAATGTTACAGCGAAATCCCGCAGTCGGAAGTTGCATGGATTCTAAATTAAAAAATACAACTGTACACGAAAGTTTATTTTAATAAAACGTAGAACGTACAAATTACCATGATAAAAACATAGCAAGGTAGAACCGTTCTCTCAATTTGTCGGCCATGATTTTTTTTTTGAAGTTTGCCAACATTTTAAAATCATATAAAAGTGAAAATAAAAAATTGAAATTGTTCGAAATTGTTGTTGCTTGAGATTGAAAATGAAAATGTGTGTGTGAGTTTGTGAGTAAATTTAAAAATTAAATTGTTTGGAAACGTCAAGAATTTTAAAAGTGACTCTCAGCGGTTCTACCTTACTATATTTTTATCATGCAAATTACATGGCAGAAACTAGCTGTCTAAAATGGAAAATTCTCGTACTCCTTTTATATAGTAATAACGGTATGATTTTGACAAGTATGTGTAAGTACCCTGCAAACCAAAGTTCCCGAAATCTTAACGAAATCTTTAGGAGTATCTGATTCCTGTAACGATTTTTTTCCGAATCTTCAAAGAAAATTATATGAATTGG